TTGTAGGAGACTGGGTCAGAAGGAACTGTTACCACTAGAAAACATTTCCCTGAGTTCCCTCCAGAATCTGAAATAGAATTAAATGTCTGAACCTTGCTGATGAACCATGCAGATATTTATTCAGTTTCTTTAAAAAAAATACATACACAAACTTCATTAAAAGAAAAAGGTTGGGAAGTCAAGCCCTCAAAAGTTAGAGGAGGGCAGAATTAAGGTTGCTTGTGCAACCTTAATTTGGCTCCTTTGCACATTTGCTTTAATATACGATCAGTTAATTCTGTGCTATGAGGGAGGGATGTGATTCCCAGCTCGTATACACTTGCTGTCATTGAGCTAGCTTGAGTATGGGTACACATGCTGGAAGTCATGCTCCCCACTTGTAGTACAGACGTAGCCTTTAATTACATGATCACATACAATTTTTTCTACAGGACTTCTGCCTCATTTCACTGGGGACTTACGCTGGGGGTGAATCAGGGTTGCATTGTGAAGGAAGCTGTTTGTAGGATTCCTGCCTGACTTTTGTTGCAGAATTTGCGAGATGTGTGGTGAATGGGCAGAGGAGTGCAGGAAGAGAAAAGATAGTCTCATGGTTAAGGCTGTTAAATTGTGACCTGGAGGACTGGATTCTATCCCTGCCTTTGTGTGATGGACCAGGCCAGGTCTGGGCACTGCTGAGGGCCTTAGCTCAGGGTGAATTGCTCAAAGCCAGGTCTACTTACAGCCTTCTACTGGAGACCTTTTCCAAATAGGCCACAAACCAGTCACACAGAGCACTTCAGCTGCCAGTCTGGGCAGCCTGAAGCCTCACAAGGAAAACCCCTCAGATACCCCAGCTTTCCCTGTGCCACAATCAGCCCAGATCTTACACACAGGAGTTAGGTTATAAAACCCTATCTCACCAACTCCGAACAGATCCTCCCGGTCCCAAAGAACCAGCTGCAGTCCCAGGCTAATTTACACTTTAGATCTTACCCACAAGAGCACACTGGGCCAATCCTTTAGAATCTAAAATCTAAATGTTTATTAGTAAAAGAAAGAAAAGGTAGAGAGTGAGATTGATGTATGGAATGTATTCTTTTTAACCATCACCAAGTTCTTGATGTTGGCTCTTAGAAGAGATGTTATAAACTGCCAGCTTAAAAGTCTTTGGTGTACATTCTGAATCAGAACAGGTCAGCAAATCCTTCCTGGCTCTGTCCCTTGCAAGAATGCATCTGGAAATCGGGAGCAGGATTGATGACAAGATGGAGACAGCCTCATGATACTTTTATATTCCTGGTGTCTCCCAAACTGGAGCTGGTCACATGATCAAGTGACCTGTCTGTGTTTCACATGCAAGTAGCCATTATGCACTGGCTGGTCTTCAAGCTTCCAGACACATTCCTCAGGTGTGTATTGGCCACTCTGAGAGCCATTGTCCAGTTAACACAGCCATTCACTGAACAATCCTTGCTCACAACAGGCAGTCCAGGCCCATTGCTCCCTCCCAGACAGAGAACGTTTAAAATACAAGAACAGAACCCATATTCATAACTTCACATACAAAAATTATACAAGTACATGAGTATCATACACAGAATCAGTAGAGCATAAGCTTTCATTTGACATCTCACATGGCCCATTTTGTACAGAATTTGGGGCAAACACCACCGGTAGGTGCAGCAGTGATCTGTCTGCTCACTTTACAATCCTGTAACATGACACTTTGTCACTGAGTCAGTTGAGTCATTTGAACCAGTTGTCCCCAAATCCTAGGGCAGTGTGGAGGACTGGGAGGGGAGTAGGCTATTCTCCCTAGGGGGTGGGGAGGGAGCACCACCTAGCCGTACTCTGTATCCAGCTCAACTCTAGCTCCCACTGCAGCTCCATTTTGTTCCCAGCCCAAATCCAGCACAGTTCTGCCCTCATTCGCACTCTGCTACTGGCCTCTAGCCCCAACTCCTCCCCCTTTCCCAGTTCAGCCCCCATCTCTGCCTTCACCCAAGCTCCTCTGCTGAGCCAACTGTGCAGTAATGGAGGGGGCGCATAGACAGATTCCATGACTGGGAAGAGGAGCATGACAGGAAAAGTTTGTGCACCACTGACTTAAACCCAACTTTCCCCAGGTGGTCACAAATTGTACATTCTTAACTTTCTGGGTGCCCAACTTGAGTTGCAAAAATGCTTAGGGTTATTTTAACCAGTGGCGTAGCCAGAAGGAACCACTCAAGTGGGTGGGCAAGAATGGGGAGGCGGGACAGTGGGGGAATGAGTGCGATTAAGCCTCGACCCCACTCCCTGGGTGGAGCAGAATAAGCTCTGGTCCCCAGCTCCCCAGCTGGTATGCTGCCAGGTGGGTCTGGAAAAAAGGGGGTGGGCCACAGCCAGGAGCAGCTTGAGGCTGGCTGCGGTAGCTGGCGCCCCAGGTGGAAGGCACAATTGGCCCCCCTGCCTGCACAGCTGTCAATGGCCGTGACACAATCACGGGGCACCCCGGCGCCCCGTGACATCATCATCTGGCACCCAGGCCGAAGACACCCTAGGCAACTGCCTAGTTTGCCTAAGCTCACGGGCTGCCCCTGGCCACAGTCCACTCAGGCTTAACCATGGCTACAACCCTGGCACTAACGGCTACAACCCTGGCACTAACAGCTGCAACTGAAGTCAATGGGAGCTGTGCTTTGAACATTCAAAGTGTTATATAATGCTAAGCTCTCTGAAACTTTAGGTGGCAAGTGTCTCAAGTTGGGCACCCAAAATTAGTAGACACTTTTGACTTTAATTGCTCTGTGCTTCAGTTTCCCACCTGTACAATGGGGGGAAAATCATCCTATTATCTCACAAGATTGTTCTAAAGACAAATTAAGTAATGTTTGTAAGCGCTCTGATACTGTAGTGATGAGTGCCATAGGAATTCCTTAAGGAATTTAATAACTCTGTCTTCAGAGCCAGATTTGAACTGTCTGTGAAATAAGACATCTGGCCACCCAATGAACAACGAGGAGAAACCAAATTATTGAAAAGCTATTAGTTAAATAAGTACTGTTTGTGCTGTGCACTGAATGAGGCAGGGATCCTATGGAAAACATAGTATGTGTTCATGTAATTAAAGACTATTATAATTCATATATCAGCCTGAACACTGGCATATCCTACATTTTTGAGTTTTCAACCTTAATGCTATTTTGATGTAGTTTTTATGTGTAATATTATATATTATTTGACAATGTTTAATTATTTAGTGATAAAGCACGAGAGTTCAGAATTAAGGCTTATCTTCCAACCTTAACCCTGCATTTGCCCACTTTTGACTCTTTAATTTATATATCTTAATGTTGCATTAGTGTCAGATTTTTTTCCATGGAATTGATGTCATTTGTGAAGCTCTTTGAAATCTTTAGAGATGAAAGGCCATATGTTATGGTAACTCAGACCAATGCTTATTCGAATAATTCCATCCACTCTCTTGGCAAATAATGGGAATCTTCCACAGATGATGTTTCTATTTTGGCTGTTCACTTTACACCTTTTTTAGCACATTGTAATGGATTGTTCATGGCAATGAAACCAGCATTTCTGAAGTTTGATTTAAATTGATGATTGAATATAGTTGTCCCAGTTTGAGGATGTGATCTCTTAGCACTACCAGCAATCCTGCTGTGATTCGGGGTTGGGGCTGGATATTGCCACTACAGCTTTTTTCTAACACCATGCAGTGGGATGGATCAGCTTCTCCTTAGAAATCCTTTCCTTCATGGATGCTGCTGCTGCTGCTAGTCAGGACAGAAAGGAATGTGAGGCCATTAGAGCTGAACAAGTGAAATAGTCCTGTTTACTTACCATTTGTTTGTTATATTCTGGTGCTTTGCCTGACCATTGCCCTATGTAATGCTATTCTTCCAGGAGAGTCGGATCTATGCAGTAGCCAAGTCAGGCATGAGGCTGTCGGAAGTGGCCCTTGGGACTAACTCACCCAGCTGGAGTAAGTTCAAGATAAGAGCCATCCAGAGAGAGAGCTTGGGCTGAGGCTGTAAGACATTAGCCTCTGGCTGTTCATGTTTTTTCCCTTTCTTGTCTGTTTTGAAATCAAATCTTAGTATGAGTGTCAGCCAGGTGGAGGAAGATATCTGGGCCTAGATGGGTAAGTCTACATCGCATTTTAGAGCAAACCTCCCAGTCCAGGGCCACAGATTTGTGCTAAGCAGGGTTTATTTAACCCACTAAATATAAGTGTAGATGTTGCTCTGTCTCTGGAATCTACAGGAAGGAGGGAGAGCTGCAATGTCAAAACAATCTTTACGCTGCTATTTTTATGAGTCTGTGGACCTGGGATGGGAGGGTTGCTCCAAGTTGCAGCACAGAAATACCATGCCGAGCCAATCCTTTTTTTTGCCTCTGTGTTAAGTAACTTCTATGCGAGGTTTATTTACCTCCTCCCCCACTCATGAAAAGATACTTCTCTGCACACCTTGCTGTTGTCTGCCTGATCTGCTCTAAAGCTGTGGTGACCCCACCATCACCTTCCACCTATTTCTGAGCTTCCACCTTTGGTGACCTATCAGCATGCCACAGGAAGCTAAGGAGAGAGTTTTCCAAAATGGAGATAAGGAAGGCAAGTAGTGAATTATCTGGTGTGGATCTCTGGCACTGACTTCCTTGGGCATAATGCTCTGACTGGCGGCTCTGTGGAATATTCATGAACCTTGCTAAACTGTCACTACAGGGATTGAATAGATCTAAGTCTAGTCCTGGGACCTCAAAGTGGGGAGCAATGGAATACCTTTTTTGTATGCTCTATTAGTAAGATGGCTAAACAGTCTCACTTTCCTTCAGTCAAACCTAGGGCTGGTTATGCACGTCTCACCAGAATGCAAAAATCTCCTGGTGCTGCCTTTTACTATGTGGTTCACTGTGCCTGGGAGGAATGCAAGGGTGGGTGAGGTGTCCTACAAGTACACTGGAAGAGGAAATTCTGTCACCTGTGAGAACTCTACTCTAAAAAATTAGTGACCCCCGTCCCCACAACCTTTGAAAGATCAAGTGTTCCAGCAAAACACTACCTCTTTCTCACTAGTTGTTTTAGTCAGGGTTCCCTCTTGCTACATTAGTGCCTTCACTCCTACTTCCCTCCATTAAAACCTGCTGTTTTTTCACCTGTGTCTTTTTTCTCTCTCTGAATTTTTTAGTTTTAAATTTTCCATCATATTCAAATTCTGGACCATTCACTGGCCTCATCTACAGAAATGTCACAGTTCCCGTCTACTCCACACTGAAGGGGGTAAGGGATTACTTCTTCTTTTCTGTTAAACAAAGAATGGGGAGAGTTGTCACCGTCTTGAGAGCAGGAAGGAACAACACTGAACAGACAAGAGGACTTGAGAATGCCACAGAGCCCTGCAGACTGACAAGCTGCAGCAGAGTAGTAGACGCCATGCACACAAATGGCATTGATAGACATATTTAAAACTATTTTATCTTTGCCAAATTGAGGGCAATATTGGCAGCTTACTGAATATACCATCAAATGTGCACAAAGTGAAACTTACAAAGGTTCAGTCCAAGGAGACTACAGATCCCCATTCTGGGAGGATGGAACCCTGGTACATGTTTGAGAGCAGGCAGTTCTTGGAAAGCTTCTGGAAGATGGCTATGGTGAAGCCTAGCAAGGTCTTGGAGGTTGGAGTGTGAATGAGAATGAAACAGATGAATTGGGTTTTTGGAGTCCGAGGAAGATAGGGAGACTTGGGAATATGGGACCTGGAAGAGAACATGGCCTGGAGAATGAGGAACGAGAGTTCAAAACCTCAGCCTGATGATGAGTGGGGTGAGATGGCCTGGATAGCTTTGAAAAGATGAAACTGGCCTGTTCTGTTTGTGTTGTGTCTCTATGAATTGTACCATGTGTCTGCATTGGAGATCCTCCTTCCTTACATTCTAATCCTGAAGCCTTGCTTTCCAGAAAGCCACCCAGATCAGCAACATTCCTTTCTTAGATGAGTCCTCAGGCTCTGATGATGACTGCAGCTCCCATGCCAGCATCCGGACCTCCAATGGTGGATCTGAGATCAGAAAGAGCAGCACACCAGGCAGCCCTCGTGCTATGAAACGAGGTAAGGTGAATCCAATAAATAGGGGAGAGCAGGCAGACTTGGGCTGCCAACCACTGCTCAGGAAAAACTAGTCTTCTAGAATAGTTCTTAATCTACAGTGGAAATCTGACACCAGGATCAGTCGTGGGCTCTCCCTCATTTGATTGCTACAGCCAAATAATTGAGATATGTAGATGTGTGGAATCATGAGCTTCCTACATTAGTTGTGTGCTAAAAACAAACAAACAAACAAACAAACCAAAAATACTTTTCGTTCTTTCTTTCGTTCTTTCCAGGCCATCTATTAGGCATGCTAGTACCAACTCATATCAATTAACTTGTTGTTGGCTCCTGTTAGCTCTGTCACAAGCTGGTAAATTCTGCACTAGAAGCCAAATGATACTTAATATGTGCACAATTCTTCCCTGCCTTTGGTGCATCAGATATGTTGTATCCTGATCAGTGTAAGTGAAAAACATGAGAATGAGAATTGCCTTGTGGATCCACTCTAGCTTTCTGCAAAGCAGCTCGGTCATTGCTAGTGGAGAACTGTAAACCTGAATTCTGTATATATTATTTAAAATGGTCTCTTCTCATGCTGTACTGGCTAATGTGTCTGTGTGCCACTGGAATCTAGAGGCAGAAGAATTACAAGAAAGTGAAGATTCACTACTAAGGTTAGGGTTCTCCTTTAGTTCAAGTGGTAGAGGCTTGTAATTTGATAGCAGAGATTCTTGAGCGCTATTAGATAATATCCTCATGTGCGGTTTAGGTAGTATTTTGCCTGTGTTTAGGCAGCCCTATATTCATCACAGTATAGAATTCTTTCCCCTTCCTACATTTCCAGAAGAATGGATTCATAGGCTTGGGCGGTGGGGTTTGAATGTCCAAGATTTGAAACAATATCCAATTGATTTGCTCATCTTGAACCAAATACTTTTGTGGTTGAATTGGAGGCTTTCTCAGAGAATGCAGGCTCAGGATGCAAGTTACAGGTCTCACTCAGGTCCTGGACACTTACGATTCCCATTATCCCTTGATTCCTAGCAGGTGTCTCTATGTCCTCGCTGAGTTCAGAGAGTGATTATGCCATCCCCCCTGATGCCTATTCCCTGGATGGCGACTATTCAGAGCCAGAGCACAAGCTGCAGCGGACATCTTCCTATTCCACTGATGGCGGAGTCTGCAGTGTAAGTTATGCCCCCCTGGACTTCAGTTTGGGATGCTGATACAGCACTAACCCTGAAAAGGGAATGGCAAAACTACTGTTTATAGTCACTACAGGATCCTCTGTCATGCTGCATCAGACTGTTGATCCAGCTTGTCTCTAACAGAAGCCACTGCTTGATACTTTATAGGAATGTGGAACCCCCATAACGTATTTGATCTGCTGCTTAGTGCTGAGCACTGGGGACATTTTTCTGCCCATCTCACTCTTCTTTAGATGATGGTTGTGACCTCACCCATTTGTATAGAAACAAAAAGTTTTTAATTTGGAAACATGAGGCGTTTGGGTTTAGCATTCAGAGCAACAGTGGAGGAGTGACAAGACCCACATTTTATTGCCAGTTTGGCTCTGTGCCTCAATTTCTTTCTCTATAAAACGGGGATAAAGATAATTGTACATCTCTATAGAGAGCTTTGGGTTACCAAATGAAAAGTGCTTATATAAATACCCAGTGTTATTTATTTTATCAGTGCTGATATGGGCTTGATTCTGCAAAAATGGCTACGGCTTGCTGCATTAATGAGTATGCTGCCATGCAGCCACCAAGAAGCAAGGGGAAGGAAATAGGATGAAGCACATAGCTCAGCGGCATGTTTAACCTCCCATCTCATCAGCTCAGCCACAAGTTATAGACTTCACACAGGAACCACTGATGCAAATTCTATGGCTCATGTGTTAGTGATCATAGTCCATTATGGCCTTACAAAATTATTAATTTATCATGTGAATCCATTTTCCCATTCCTCACCTTTTAAAAAACAAAAACAAAAAAAAACCTCCTGCTTGCATGAGACTTGAGGGTTGAGCTATTGCTGCCTAGAGCTTACCCTTACCTCATTTATGTTGGAAGAGCGCTTAGCACATTGTACAGGAAAATAATAATTTTCAGTGACTCAGGCACCTTGTGAAAGCATGAGTAGTCCTGCCTTCAGCTACTTTCTTCACTGACTGACACATCCACCTTGGTACTTAGACATGGCGGTAGCAGATTCTCAAAGTTATGTAGTGATGTGGGCCCAAATATCTGGCAGTATGAGCTGGAGAGAAGATGCAGGATGCTGGAGACCTGGCAGATGGCAGCATTTGGTGTGGGCACTTCTCAGCTGCTTTTATCTTGGGCATGGGATGATCCCCTTATTCTTTATCCTCTAGGAGCCCATGGAGAAGTCAGGCTATTTGCTGAAAATGGGCAGCCAGGTGAAGACATGGAAGAGACGTTGGTTTGTTCTGAGAAATGGACAAATCATGTACTACAAATCTCCAGTAAGTGAGAAGCAAACACACCAATGCCTGACACAGGGGACAGGCTGCTTGATGACTGAGTTAGTTTTATGAACCGGTGAAAGCTGCCACACTGATAGAGGACTTCAGTTGCTAGGACTATTTATTTACATAACAAAGACATTGTGGGCAGCAGCACGTGCAAGCTTGCACCTCCCACGATCTTGCCATTGTGCCTCATCCCTGATCCTGGGCTACAATCCCCAAGGAAGAGGGGAGTCTTCATTCAATCGTTGTCTTTCTGTTCAGACAGAGGGGCCATGTATAGTCGTAGTTTTTGTGAAATAACAATTTATCTACTATCAACTGGGCTTGAGACCTGTTGGCTGACGCAGAGACTACTGAAAGCGAAAGCAAAAAAAATAAAAAATAAAAAGTGTTTCTCCTCATATTGATCTTGCTCCAGTATGAAAGCAAATGCAAAAAAAAATTGCTAGTACAACATTAAGGATATGCAGGCAGGCACTTAGATGTGAAGAAGTTAGAAAGTTAGGCCTGACTACAGCCCTTTAGCTCTTCCCTTTGTACAAGCATACAATTCAGTGTTAATTGTATGGTCACATACCGTTTCTCAAATAATATGATAGCAGAATTTTTTTCTACTAAATGGAATGGGATTATTTAAAGAGTATTGTAATATATGCTCACACAAGGGGCTGATTAGTAGTTGCCAGTTTAATTTTCATATGTCCTGAGTTTTAAGTAGCTAACAAAATGAGCTCAAACTAGCTATGGGAATAAAGGGAAACAAGAAGACTTTTTCTAAATACATTAGAAGCAAGAGGAAAACCAAGGACAGAGTAGGCCCACTGGTCAGTGAGGAGGGAGAAACAATAACAGGAAACTTGGAAATGGCAGAGATGCTTAATGACTTCTTTGTTACGGTCTTCACCGAGAAGTCTGAAGGAATGCCTGAGGTAGGTTTAGAATATAAAATAAAAAAGAACAAGTTAAAAATCACCTAGAAAGGTTAGATGCCTGCAAGTCATCAGGGCCTGATGAAATGCATCTTAGAATTCTCAAGGAGCTGATAGAGGACATATCTGAGCCTCTAGCTATCCTCTTTGGAAAATCATGGGAGACAGGAGAGATTCCAGAAGACTGAAAAAGGGCAAATATAGTGCCTATTTATAAAAAAGGAAATAAGAACAACCCAGGAAACTACAGACCAGTTAGTTTAACTTCTGTGTCAGGTAAGATAATGGAGCAGGTAATTAAGGAAATAATCTGTAAATACTTGGAAGGTGGCAAGGTGACAGGGAACAGCCAGCATGGATTTGTAAAGAACAAATCATATCAAACCAATCTGATAGCTTTCTTTGATAGGATAACGAGTCTTGTGGACAGGGGAGAAGTGGTGGATGTGGTATATCTAGACTTTAGTAAGGCATTAGATACGGTCTCGCATGATATTCTTATCAATAAACTAGGCAAATACAACTTAGATGGGGCTACTATAAGGTGGGTGCATAACTGGCTGGATAACCATACTCAGAGAGTAGTTATTAATGGTTCACAATCCTGCTGGAAAGGTATAACAAGTGGGGTTCTGCAGGGGTCTGTTTTGGGACCGGCTCTCTTCAATAACTTCATCAAGGATTTAGATATTGGCATAGAAAGTACGCTTATTAAGTTTGTAGATGATACCAAGCTGGGAGGGGTTGCGACTAATCTGGAGGATAGAGTCATAATTCAAAATGATCTGGACAAATTGGAGAAATGGTCTGAGATAAACAGGATCAAGTTTAATAAAGACAAATGCAAAGTGCTCCACCTAGGAAGGAACAATCAGTTTCACACATAGAGCATGGGAAGCGACTGTCTAGGAAGGAATACGACAGAAAGGGATCTAGGGGCTATAGTGGACCACAGGCTGAATATGAGTTAGCAGTGTGATGCTGTTGCAAAAAAAGCAAACATGATTCTGAGATGCATTAACAGGTGTGTTGTGAGCAAGACATGAGAAGTCATTCTTCCACTCTACTCTGCGCTGGTTAGGCCTCAGTTGGAATATTGTGTCCAGTTCTGGGCACCGCATTTCAAGAAGGATTTGAAGAAATTGGAGAGGGTCCAGAAAAGAGCAACAAGAATGATTAAAGGTCTAAAGAACATGGCCTATGAAGGAAGGCTGAAAGAATTGGGTTTGTTTAGTTTAGAAAAGAGAAGATTGAGGGGGGACATGATAGCCGTTTTCAGGTATCTAAAAGGGTGTCATAAGGAGGAGGGAGAAAAGTTGTTCATCTTGGCCTCTGAGGATAGAACAAGAAGCAATGGGCTTAAACCGCAGCAAGGGAGGTTTAGGCCATTGGACATTAGGAAAAAGTTCCTAACTGTCAGGGTAGTCAAACACTGGAATAAATTGCCCGGGAGGTTGTGGAATCTCCATCTCTGGAGATATTTAAGAGTAGGTTAGATAAATGTCTATCAGGAATGGTCTAGACAGTATTTGGTCCTGCCATGAGGGCAGGGGACTGGACTCGATGACCTCTCGAGGTCCCTTCCAGTTCTAGTATTCTATGATTCTAACTATGACTTCCTTGGAATGTAGGCATTGCCAAATCAGCCAATGGGACCTGCTAGTCCAGTATTCTAGCTACAAGAGTGGCCAATACGAGATGTGTCACAGGTTGGGGTGTGACTGTGTGCATGTATGTCCGTAAGAAACTATAGTGGATAGTTATCCCCTGATAAGGGATGTTTCTTCTTCACGCCCATTAGTTTGTGGCTGGCTTATGACCTGAAACACGGGTGGGTTTTAATCTGTTTTTTATCCTACCTATGGTATTTTAGATGTTTTCATTGTCCGTAAGCCCTCATCCTTTTAAAAATCTTACAAACTTTTGACCTCACTGCTATTTAATGGCAGTGAGTTCCACAGATGAATTGGGTAAAAAAAAAAGTTTCCTTTTATCAATTTTAAATGTGTTGTCATTTAAATAAATGTAAAAGGATATTCAATGAAGCCAGATGAGGGCACACCATTGATCTTTGTAATAGCATTACAATACTTTCAGTGTTATTTCCTATACCTTTCCTTATGGATTTCACCCTCCCTCTTCCCCTTTTAACATCTATTACACATTGAGCAAATGATCTCTTTTTTGTGTGAAGCTGTTCAAAAAGACAGGAAAATTAGGTCTTTCTTCCTTTACAGCAGCAATTCTAATTATTCCCTCACATTTCACATTTTTCAAAGAGTTAATTATTCTGTTTTTTTTTTTTAAATACGGTTTCAGCCATTGTTCCTGGTATTCAAGACCATGCTCTTTTTTGTATTCCAAGATCCATTCCTTGTACCTTTAAGATAGATACAATATTCACTACTTTCCAGTCCTCTATCAAAGAACATATTTTGATGAGAGACTGCTTAACTTCATTAGTAGCTCACCTAGTTCGTTCTTAAATTTCTTCTGAGCCCATGAATCGTTTCATCTGCACCTGTTGCTCTTAGATTTATCACTTTGTTTTAGCACCTCATCTTAAATACATCCACAAAGGTTGAGGAACAGTTTCTGAGGAAAGGAAATTACTTAGCTTCTTTGCAATGTCTTTATTCTCCTTTAATTTTCTGTTTTCTCTCTGGTAGTCTGACAGACTCAACAGTTTCCCCTCATAGACTTCCTGCTTCTTAGAAACAAATATTTTTGTAATGTTTTGGATGTTTGCTCATCAATTCCCACTTTGCACACCTGATATCTATTTTACATTTTACCTATCCTTGTTTCATTTTCTGTTCTGTAGACTTAACTTGGGTTAGGGTTTCTGAAGGATACCCATTTGGCTCAAATAACATCTGCTTTAAAGATAAAAAAGGAAAAGGAAATGATCCAGTTTTATATCCAAGTACCACCAGGCAGTCAAGGGTAACCGAGGCATTTCAATATTGCCAATAAATATGAACTTGTACATCAGTTAGCCAAAGGGCAATTAACTTGTTAGTCTTGCATGGATTATCTGCGTAAGAATATTACATGTACCTTTGAAAGTGCACAGTTTAAGAAATCCTAAGGATAGCATAAAGGCCAGCTTAGCAAACCACTCGATTAATTTTGGTAATCCTTCTATGGGCTTCCTAGTAGAAATGATCACACAAAAGGAAATGAAGAATTAGTCTCATTTGCTAGTACAGTAAAACTCCATTAGTCTGGCATCCAATGCTCCGGGACTCCTGATGGTCCGGCACCATCAGGAACCCGGAAGTGCTGGGGCAGCCGGACAGGCTTCCCCCATTCAGCTGCTGATGAAAATGAAAAGAAGTGGATGAATCAGGGACAAATGGGGCAGAGCCTGA